AGCAGGATTTATTACTGCTGCGGCTGATTTGTAGGGCTGATTTGTTGTGAGAGAAAAACATTATTTCATGACTGAAAAAGTAGAGCTAATTCTGACTTATAAGCTAAGCGAACGGAACCGAAATGGCTGTGTTCGCCGTTCGGTGGAGAAAACAGAGGTGATCCTACAACAAGTCGTATCGCCCTGTTCACTTGAATTTATCAACTATAAAAACAGTGTTTTTCTCTCACATTAAATCAGTTTTAGCCGACTTATCCGTCGTAGAAACCATCTAGCCTAACAACTGGTTTAAGTGAAACGAACAGGGCCGTAACCTTTTGTTGCCCTACCCTACTAGCTTGCGTTCATCATGTGACCTAATGGCCTTCTTGTCTCAAGCGTGTACAAATGATCGTGAGTGAATGACATATTGACACGCAACCTTTTCTGTTGCTGCCTGGTCCCTACTCCACTACTGCCAACTGGAGCCACGATGAGCCGCATTACATCAGCGTGTTCGTTTTGGCTGAATTAGCTTATAAGCCATGGCTGAAAGTACTGTTGATTAGTTTGGTGTGAGAGAAAAACATTGTTTAAGCCGTAGATTATAAGCCAGATACGAGCGAATAAGCCGAAACGAACAGGCTGCATGATGGATTTCTTCGGGTGGGGCCTAAGTGAGAAGAATAAACATCGAGTCAGCTCATTACAACCTTATTACCCAGTGATACCATACCGGTTTAGATCTCCCCAAGACCCCAACTACTCGTCATGGGCAGTGGGGCGAATCAATGAAGTCTCTCAGCTGAATCTTACAAGGTCAGGCACTCAGGCTAATGAAGTAGAACTACACTCGAACAGTTGCAAAAGAGCAGAGGCCAGAAAATCTGAAAAGAAACAGTGAAGGCACGTAGAATTGATGATTGAACCAGGAAGCCAAGGGGAAAAAAAAACTTGGCACGGGATCAATGCTTATCTATCTCTGGTTGACTGGTTCAGTGGTTGCATGGAAGTAAAGGCATGGTCCCTGTCTCCGAGACATGCCCAAAGCTGAAGAAGACAGCTGAACAGGCGCAGAGGTGATTGATGCTGCTCAGACGCGCTCGAGTAAATTTTCTGGCAAGAGTTTGCTTTGAGATCTTGGCACCGTGCAATGCATGCATGCTTCTGTGACCCTTTTGCGCAGCAGATTTGCAGTCTGTTCGCTTGCTCGTAAATGATCGTAAATTTCCAGCCAGGAACAGTGTTTTTCTCTCACACCAAACCAGCCAGCAGTAAATAATCCACGATACGATACGGCCTCCCGAATAAGCTGTTGAGCAACGGACGTCAGACAGTGGTCGAGTCTGAACTCTGAAGTAGCGATAACACGCATGGAGGGCAAGCAGCGGGTTGATATGACTGCAAGCCAAAATCTGCACCTGTAGTAGATTTATTTCTTCAGACAATGATAGTTGGGATTGGAAGTCTGAGGCTCTAGTTGCGTTCTTGCCAAAGGGGGCTACGGATATCAAATATTTCTTCACCTCAAATTTTGGATGGAGTTAGCACTTAACACGTGACTGGTCGCCAAACCGAACCCCAAACCCAATAGAACCCATACCTAACCGAACTGTCATTTTTTCGGTTCAGCTTCGGTTTTTTAACCTACGAAGTTCGTATCTCGGCTCCTTCATCGGCTTTTACATATAACCGAACCAAATAGTCGAGGAACCAAACGCATAAATCAACAAACTCCAAACTCAAACAGCCACAACCCCCGGGCGAACCCCACCCTGCGTGACCTTGGCCCACAACCCAAATAAACTCCCATGTGCAACTCCCACCCCCAAGATGAAACATCTGGCCTTCTGGTAGTGCCATGGCGCGAGCAAGGAGTGACGGAGCATGGTGTGGCAGGGTGGCGGTGCTCGCGCGGCATGCAAACAACGCTAGCAGGGCTCACTTGCCCGAGCGGTGCCACTAGCAGGCAGCGCGGCATAAAGGAAAGTCCAGTCTTTTTGTTTAAACCGAAAAACAAGGTAGAAAGACGACATCGAACCTCTCAATTTTCTGTTCCATAAGAAACCGATCGGTTCTCTGTTCTTACAAAATGAAGTTTTGAAAAATCGAATAAATCGAACCGAACTTTCGGTTTAAACCAATTGCCGAGTCCTATCAGCTAGTAGACGAGCCGCTACCATGGCTGTCCGATGTACATTCGGGGCCCTTTCTCCACCAGAAGCTGGTGACTTTGCTCGACCATGTCTCCTTAATAACTGCTTCATTTTTAGAGTCCGGTCTCTGTATCCATATGGGATATATGTAGCCAAATACGCAAGCTCCTAGGCTCAAAACCTCAAACATGAGAAGCATAAATGATAAAATAAGGAAAAGAACTCATGGACTAAGCAAAAATCTATAGAGTCTAGGGTTTAGATTTTCTTCTCCACCCTTGCTTTCAACTTGCTTTTATCTTTGTGTAACAGTACCTCTTCACACCGTCTTTCCCAAACAAAAGAACGAGACTAAGTCCTTAACCTCGTCTGACCGCGGCAACGAAACTTGCAATCGACTTTAAGTGAAGATGGACCTCCGCGGCGACGTCTCCAAGGAGGAAAACAACGACGGTCACCGTCACGGCCGCCCGTCTCACCGAGGCAAGGATTTTCACCTGGAGATTACCAGGGTGACTATGGAATGACATGGCAACACTTCCAATTGAAAAGGAAAATGACGTCCAAAGGCGTCGTCGATGTCAAGATCGGTAAGATGAGCAACACCTCCATGGCACCGGATCCACTACCCACACACAAAAATAGTTCACCACATTGAGAGTCTTGCACGTCTCAAGTCCACGACATAGTCACCCTTGAGAAGCACAATGAGCCATTGTCTAGTGCCTGCAAAGCCCACCACTGTAGAAGCCACCATACGATGTCTATGCGCCACCACTGACCAGATCCGGAGACATGAGCCACGGATCTAGTTGCCCCAAGAGTGGCACTGTCACTAGCCAAAATTGCCAGCCTCAACTTTGACCAACAAACACCATAGGCCATCACGCCAAAGAAACTTACGATAGCTGTGGAGGAAAAAGAGGAACGTAAAGCCCCGCCGTTGCCTTTCTTGTGACCCTGCAGAGCTCCAACGGTGTGCTTCGATGACGGCAAGGGGGAGAGGTGGAGGAAGAAAGAGTGGCGGCGCTAATGGTCAGGTTCAACCTGAGTCACTCGTCGAATAAGTGCTTCATTCATTCTAAATGATAAATCATTTTAATCTTGTCCTGAATTGAACTCTCTTTAACATCTTGACCAAGTCTATTATACATCGCTAGGTCATCGGTGATCGGGAACCCAAGAACCCGAACCCTTTCCCAAGCCAGACCCTCACCTTTTTCTTCGGCGGCGATAGCTGAAACACCGTGGAGAGGCTTTTGAGCAAATTTTACCATGAGTACAAATTAGAAATTTCACGCAGCACAATTTTGTACCCACATTTATATTTGAAGACAGAAATCAAACGTGGCTGCCGTGTTACCTAGGGAACACTTATTTCTGCAGTCCTGCAACTGCAGTCGTGCAACACTACTACTATTACCAGTACATCTGAAGCTCCCGTGCGTCTACAGGTCCACCGATCCAGCCGTCCCTGACTCCCAGTCGCGTACTTGTCTAGGGAGATGTACGTACATTATTGTCACATGTTCGCTTAATCATTTCTGTGGCTTACAAGTCAGCTGATGTTATTTTATTATAAAAAACCATCATAAACAGTGTGACTATACTACGAGTCTACCACCACTACGTTGGTCCCATCCCAGTAGCAGCAGCAAATGTTTGACGCAACAGGTCGGAGCGGGTTTACTGCGGGAGACTTGCGCTCCTGCGACATGACCCGCGCCCTGACTTACCGGCCCAGATTCAATGCCGTCGTGAACACGAAGAAATGAGCATAAAAAATCGTTTTTCCAGTACGGTAGTAGTACGTACCGTGCCACACCCAGGAAACAGCGTGCAGTCTTGACTCGCAGGGAGATGATTTCACTGTTTCTCGAGAGCACGGTTGCACGGAGCAGCAGACAGGCGGGGCAAGCAGCAGAATCAGTGCACGGCATGGCCACAGCAGCGGGGCTGCGCGGCGTGCGCCCCGACCAGCCGGCAAGCGCCGGCCGCCCTACCACCTGACCTGGGGTGTCCCAGGCCGGCCGAGCGAGACAAGCGTCAATGCGCCGCGCAGCAGCCGGGAAGCCACCCGATCCACGTCCACCGGCACCGCGCCGCGCTCCGACCCGGCGAGCACAACGAAACCATTACCCGTCGGCGTCGCCCACTCCTCGGTGGCCGAGCCACCGATGTCAGGCTGCTGGTGGAGTGGTGGGGCGAGAGGCGGGGATGGACTACTCCGCTCATGCGGCCTGTCTGTCTGTCTGTCTGTCCGTCCGCGGTCCAAAGCGTCACATTCCTCCATCCTGGTTCTTGGACTTTTCCTGCCGCGGCTCCTCCGCTCCGCAGTCCGCACCACGGTCCACGGTGCACGGACGAGACGACGGCCCCCGCGCCCACCACTCCACGTACTGCTTGCTGCTGCTACATGCAGTAGGCAACAAAAAACTGTGTGCTGCCACGGCCCACGGCAATGCCCCGGGAAAAGAAAACCGCAAACAAATAAGATAGAAGATTCTGACCTCCCCGCCGCCGTCGTCTCGCCCTCCCAAGTCCCAGGTGGCCAAGCCCCAGCCCGCCTTCTCCTCTCCACCTTCCGCGTGGGACTTCCACGTTAACCTCCCCGTCCGTCGGTCCGCCGTCCGCCCGCGCGCCGCGCGCGTGACCGCATCATTGCGCCATCGTCTAGCCGAGTCCCCCCATCGCCGCGCCGGACGACTAGACCAAACGCCACCGAACGCCATAATGGTGGGCAAGTACGAGTAGGAAGGAGAGGGGGTATACACTGCCTCTGCCTGCCTGCTCCACTTCACTCCAGACCTCTTCGCGCGCCCGCAGCGCAGCCACCAGCGCCGGCGGCAGGCACGCACGCACGCGATGGGGTGCAAGGGGTCCAAGCTCGACGACCAGGAGGCCGTCGCGCTCTGCCGCGCCCGCGCCGAGCTGCTCGCCGCGGCCGTCCGCCACCGCTACGCGCTTGCCGACGCGCACGCGGCGCTCGCGGACTCCATCGAGTCGGTCGCCGCGTCGCTGCACCGCCTCCTCCGCCTGCAGGCGGCCGAGTCGCCGGGGCTCACGCTGCCCTACGCGGGCAAGGGCGGTGGTGGCGCGCCTGCGAACCGGCTGCCGCGCTCCTTCGACCCGTCGTCGTCGGCGCCGTTGCCTGCCCACGGTCATTCCTCGCGCCTCCAGTTCGGCGCGTCGCCGGGATCCGAGCCGGCGTCACCGGCCGACTCGCCTCCGCGCCGCGTCCCCGAGCAGCTGCAGCACCCGCATTACGCCGCGTACGGGTACGACTACGCGACGCAGCCCGCGTACACGTACCCGGCGCCGGCGGGCTCGCTGCAGTTCTACTACGCTCGCAGCCGCCCGCCGCCCGCGTCCGTCGCCGTCACGCAGCGCGTGCCGGGGCCGCCGGAGCGCGTGGTGCGCTTCGGCTCGTTCGACGCGGCGGGCGGCTACCCGCAGCACTACGCCTACAGCGCCCAGCGGGCCCCGGCCCCGCCTCCGGCCGCGCTGCAGCGGGTGGCTCCGCCTTCGCCGCCGAAGGCGAGCTCGTGGGACTTCCTCAACGTGTTCGAGAACTACGACTCGTACGAATACGACAGCTACTACTACGACTCCACCACGGCAGCTACTGCGGCCGCGGCGCCGTACACGCCGAGCCGGAGCTCGCGCGAGGTGCGCGAGGAGGAGGGCATCCCGGACCTGGAGGACGACGACGAGGAAGACGGCATGGTCGTGAAAGAGGTGGCCGGGCAGTACTCAGCGCCTGGGAGTGGCGGTGCCCGCAGCCGGCGCAGCTCGCTCGGCGGTGCCAGTAGCATCACCGAGCTCGACCAGCCGGAGAATGTTGTCGCCCATAAGGACGTCATCGGCGAGTTACGGCGAAGGCAAACAACAGCACATGGTAATGTGTCGGTGCACGCTCCACCACCTCCCGCGCGGAGGGTCGTCGACAATGCGAATGTAGCTGGCGAAATCAAGGCACAGCTTGTCCGCACGGCCGAGGCGGCTAGGCAGCTCGCGCCGATGCTCGAAGTTGGGAGGCCAAGCTACCAAGGCCGCAGCTCAGTCTACCAATGTGAGCTACATCTTGTTTACTTCATGTCCAATTTAACTCGGATTGTCAGTAACTCCGTGCCACTGGATGCTTAATTCTTTGATCAGCTTCCTCAAAGATGATGTCTGCTATCTCCGTGGCTCATTTGGGGTGCAAAGACATGGACGTGTTGGACGTCGGAGTGGTAGGGAAGATGGTGGACACGCGGAGCCTATCCTCGGCACTTGAGAAGCTCTATTTCTGGGAGAGGAAGCTGTATGGTGAGGTCAAGGTATGGTCATCATCTTCTGATAAAAAACTGGCCTTGTTTTAAACTTATACTACAATAGAACTGATCTATGAACTAGAGCTATGATATTGGTGGTTTATGGAAATGTACAATGGAAATTAAATGATAATATTGTATGGCATGCTGCAATCATGTCACTCCAATGTGTATTGTTAGTTTTATGTTAATCTTAATCCGCATTAAACTGTGCCCTTCGTCTTAAGCTATGATCAACCTCTACTAAATTAATTAATGGCGCTGGTCAGCAACAGTACTTCGCTAGGGGAAGGTTGATGTTATTTTGACTTTTGCATATGAAGCAAAATTCTTAACTTCATACTTTTAAGAAAGGCCGGCTGCTAAGTCTCAGATTTGCATCCTAATATTCTAAATAGTGTTAACTGATTAGTTTTACTAACACAGTGCTTTGCTAGCAGTATTTTTTTTGTACTTTAGGTCATGGGCATGTTTAACCAAGGGTCCAATTAGGATAATACCCACAACAGAAAGTGGCTTTCTGGAAGCCTAACGGTCAGATTTGGAAGAACATGTCTCATTAACCTTTTAAAATATTCTTCTGATCTGTAGTAGTGGAGTTTTATTGGGCCAGCTAGTAGAACATGGGAGAACCAGTGGATATATTTTGAGAATCCATTTGCTTTCAATTTTATGTGTCACAGTAAATAGAACCGTTTCGTTCAAAACAGTCCATCTTTTGTTTATTTAAAACTGCAACCATCTTCTTGAATTGGATATGCCACTTTATGAATCTATTTGTTATCATTGATTTTGATAATGTTATAGTTCAATAGATTATGTCCATGCATATTTTCACCCTTGCTATCTTGTTTTTATATAATGTTCTTTTCTTCTCTCAGCTAATGTACTTCTCATTCAGGCTGAGGAGAAAATGCGCTTACTTATTGTGAAGAACTCCAAGCGACTGAAATTATTAGATCAAAAGGGTGCAGAGCCTCAAAAGATTGATGCAACTCGAAATTTGCTGAGGAAGCTTTCAACAAAGATAAGAATAGCTGTGCGCGTTATAGCCAAGATCTCAAGAAAAATAAACAAATTAAGGGATGAGGAATTGTGGCCGCAAGTTAACACTTTGATCCAAGGGTATGCCCCTCTTTTAGCTCAAGGAAAGTGCTTATTTGTTGTTGTTGTTACTGTCAATGCTATTATTGCAATTGTTGTATTACTACTACTCTTACTCTCAATATTACTATTCCTAAAATTATTATTATTTTGGGGGGGGTCTAGTCAGTGTCGGACAGACATATTGAATTGAATCTTTTTACACAATTGATAGTGAGCTGATGTATGCATTCATGCAAACTGAATGGATTGAGAGGAAACCATAAAACATGGATATGTAGGAAGTAGGATTATCAGAGTGTTTATGTATACCTAGTTGCATGTTATATGTCAAATCTTGTTAAGTGATCTATAATAAATTGAAATACTGATTTACTTGCTTTCTCCCTTTGGTGCTCCCTCCTCTTTTGCATTGTTGGGCCCTTCCTGAACAAATTAATTGCTTATTTCCAGGTTTGTATTAATGTGGCAAGATAAATTGGACTGTTACCATAGTCAGTGTCAAGTGATATCAGAAGCCAAAAACTTTACTTCAGTTTTGTCAGGTGGAAATGGCCAGGATTTGGCGTTGGAGCTTGAGGTAGAGCTGATTAAATGGATCATCAGTTTTTCCTCTTGGGTGAATTCACAAAGAAACTTTGTAAAGGCACTGAATGGATGGCTAGCACTCTGTCTTAACTACGAGCCTGAGGATAACACTACTGGAGTTTCATCTTATTCACCAGGAAGCATAGGTGCTCCATTGGTTTTTGTTACCTGCAACAAATGGTCTCAAGCCATGGATCGGATTTCTGAGAAGGACGTGGTTAATGCCATGCAAGCTCTTGTGTCTAGCGTGCGGCACCTGTGGGAGCAGCAGCATCTTGAGCAAAGTGAACAAATAATCTTGATTCGAGAAAGGGAAAAATGGATCAAGATTTTGGAGAGGAAGACCCAGGAGATTAATAAGGAGGCAGATGAACTAAACAGGAAGCTGGCGTTAATACCAAGCCGGCAGAGACTGCATGTGCCTCGGACCGTACAATTGTACGAGGCGCATTGTGTTGAGGCAAGTAACTTGCACATAAATCTGAGGCTGGTTCTTGAAGCTTTAGAGAACTTTGCTGCCAATTCACTGCAAGCTTTCCAGGATGTGTCAAAAAGTGCTGAAGAGACAAGGCTGCCAAGAGATAATGTGAGGAGAGAGCACCGTAGTTCGAATAGAAGTTCAAACTACAAAACCAGCTCGTAAGATTTAAACATGTCCTATCTAGGTGGGATGAAAATATAATATGACATACAGATCTGGTAGCATGATGACTCGTTCAGGTGTGGTGGCTTCCTGTGCAGATGAATCTTGGATGGGTCTTGTGGTACAGACAAAACAACTGGAATGGGGGTTTTGAGCCGTTGAAAATCTGACATTCAAGAAGTTTGGGTTAGTTATAGAATTTATTTCTGGGGGCAATATCAGGCAGAGCATTTTGCCCAGTGTTCAGGTGCGTTGTTTACCTTGGTTCAGGGACGTGTGTATATACCCCTTTGTTGAACAACCACAAGGTTATGCCGCGGTTGCGAAGACTCAGCAGAAATATGTGGTGCAGGCTCGGAACCATCCCTAGATGCAACTGTCGCTTCTACGGACCCGGCCACACGGGTCCTCCCCAAAAACAAAGCAGTTGGATTTTGGTGACAATGTATGTAAAGTGACTGAATGTAAAATCAGTCAAATGCGCATTCCTGAACGATCTTTTGCTACACGAAGTTGTAAATATTTATGGTGTATTTGCAATCATCTTTGCAGAAGTATTGTAGGCTGGTAGCTATTAAGCTATCCGTGTCTCTGAAAATTTGTTATTTCCTGCAAATTACATTTTAACTTTTCCTTCTCCAAGACAATGCTAACACAAACTGTTTGGCAGTAAAATTGAACCATATAGGTGAACTGAAAAGAGGACCCCACCGATCGACGACGACAAGCGACTGTTAATGTTAATTGAAGAGGATGTATGACCAGGGTTTTTTTTTCCTAGGGGCCATTTTTCACGGGACCTTCGGTGGCAATGGGCCAACCGCAAAAGTTGCGGTGGCATCTCGTGGGCCGTGGCCTAAGGGCGTGTTTGTTCCTCGGGAAAAAGTCCACTTGACTCTTTTTTTTTTACGCCTCTCTCATGCAGTACAGCTTTTAGTATCTTTTCTTTCACACTCCACACCAACCCTACACACGCACACCACACACACACACACATTGCACAAACAAACCTACAACTATACTCGAGATGCTCGGATCACGCCCTTTGTAGAGATCACCAGGTCCATCCATGGACGCTGAGCGACTAGTGCGCGCGTTTAATGCCTTTGTGACTCCCGAACGAGAGCAATAGAGTTAAGGGGCGAACCTCGTGAGAAACCAGAAATTCGAAACCACGGGGGCTCGAACTCTGGCCGGCAAGGTCCCAACCACCGGGCCTTGCCACCCGAGCTACGCTCGGTTCTCAAAAGTCCACTTGACTTCCGTTTGAGTCTGATTTACCTCATGGGACTCTGGCTTTGATTTCTTGTTGCTCCTTGCAACCAAGCCTGCCAAACGTCCATGGAAAACAAGGCTCGCTAGAGCCATTTTTATAAAGGAGCCGGAGCTAGATAAATGGCTTATTCTAGATCTTTCTTATGAACATAATATAAATTATTATAAAACTGCATCTGGAGTTGTTTTTGCCAAACACTTTTCAAAATAGATTTAGCTCCATCAAAGAAGCTGCTCCACATAAAGAGTCATCACCATTTTAGGAGAAGGAGAAGTCGGAGCCTTACCAAACGGGGCCTTAATCTGAAAACCAAATTTTTAGATTCTCACATCAATTCTAGAAACTATCCTATCTAACTCCCTGAGTGGTTTTAACTTTTAAAAGTGATTATTATGGTTGACGTGGCACTATGTCGGTTCTCCTACATGGTGTCATGTCAGCAACAAAGGAGGTAGTCAGATTTTCACGATAGTTTAGGGAGGTTAACTAGATTTTATATAAAAAAAAATTATAGATTTTTTTTTTCAAAAAATTATTCAAAAATTTTCTGAAATAAATATGCATTTGAAAAAATATTTAAATTAGAACATTTATTTTAACTATGAAATCCTACCAAATTTCTAATCTCTTGTCTTCGTTGCTTCACATCGTCATCTATGATTTTCTAAGAGATTTGTGTACGTTGTTCTTGATACGGTGCAAATTTATGTCATACTCGTAATATCATTTCAAACATTTTTTTTGAAGGAATATCCCTTTCAAATATTCGAGAACTATTGCCAATAATTAGGGATATCGGATTCCAACAATGCAATTGTGAGATTTGTAACCAAGTTTTTATTAGAACCGAGTCAATTCTATTCTTCTGGAGTGAATAGAAGAAACTCTCTACCTCTTGGAAGATGTTTCTTCCAGGGAAAAAAATAGCAGCAGCTCCATATGACGACAGTGTACTGCAATCGACCCTGTCTACTCGAGAGATTACAGATCCTATTTCAGTGGCATGGTATCTCCGGGTATACTTGTCCGGAGATGGACACTCGTGCGTTTCGGCAGCGGGCGAATGTTTGCTGGCCACCGGATCTCGTGATCATCACGGAGTTGACATGGATATCTGTGCAGCTGCCGCCGCCGCTACAGTCAAACGCCACGGCGGTTGGCAGGCTTGAGGTCCCCTTCAGGTTGGTGTACGTTACGTTGCTGATCGCCACGGCCAGCTGCAAACCCAGAAACGCATAAGCATTGGTTGCATTGCACGCAGTGCTTCTCATATAAACTGCCTGTGATAGCTCTGAAGGGTGAGCAGTGTGTGCGACTTCAATGCACTACTTTGTCAGTAAATGGAATCGAGCTGATCATAGCAAGATGAAAATACACCGTACCTCGAGAGTGCGGTCTCGGTAGAATTGGTCGATGATTACGGGGTGATCCACGTTGTCGAATTCTATGTCGGTGAATGAGATGGATTTTGCGTACCCTTGCGCACCCTATGGCAAGACATCAAGAAAAACACCAAATTAAATTAAACACAACCTTGACATTTTACTCTCAGCCGTATTTTTTTGGTCAGTGTTCAGTAATCACAACTTTCACTTTACCTCCCACGTCTTGATCCTAGCTCCATTCATTGTATTTGTAAAGTAAACGTTCTTCACGTCGATGTACTCCACGGCGGCGGTTTCGCCATTCTTGCCGAGACTCCCAATGCTGGCCACCATGAAAACCATAGGTTACCTTGCAGTCGCATAAGATATGCATCTTGTGCTAGAACGTCCACGCAGCACCGGATTGCCCTTTTCAGTCGCGTCGATCGATGGGTTACCTTACTCCGTGGCCAGGCCCGCACTGGATGCCGTCGACGGTGACGAAGCGGCTCCCGGAGCTTATGGAGACGCAGTCGTCGCCCGTGCCAATGGTGGAATTGGTGATCTGCACGCCCTGGCTCCGCTCGACGTGGACGCCGTCCGTGTTGGGGCTGTTCCCCGGCGCGGCGATGTTGAGACCCCACACGTTGACGCCGCTGCTCTCGATGATGGCGATGTGCATCTGCGGGCTGTTGCGGCTGCTGAACTGGCTTAGCTCCAGGTTGTTGCAGCTCACCAGCTTCAGCGCCTGCCACAGAGACGAACAGATTCCTGAATGCAAAGCTTCATCCAGAGAGGAACTAATCCGCGCAATGTTGTCTACCGTCGGTGCAGATTCAACGCAAGCTCCTGCCACAGAGGCATCGCTGTGGCATCTCCTGACCCACCAACTCTGCCCACTACCGTCGAGCACGCCGTTGCCGGTCACCCTCAGCCCGTCCACGCGATTGAACATCAGCCAGTAGAGGTTTGTCCCCATGCTCCATGCGCTCGCCGCCGTCGACGGCGGCGCCCTAATAGTGCCCTGGATCTGTGCAGGGTATGACAAGTATCGGTGTTAGTCGTTACAAGTGGTGATGGAGCTGGAAATTTTTTTAAGAGGACAAGATCTAAAGCAAAACTGGTACTATATATTACCAAGTACATCTTAGGTTTGTCATATGCTATTTTTTTCTTATAAGTTTGACCATCCATATCTACAGCCTAGCCAGCAGTCCAACAGACGACGAAGAGCGTTTCCAAAACATTAAAAAAAAGAAACAGAGAACACAATCTGTCTGTTTGTCACGGTGGAGCAGAAACGGACTGACAACTGACATGCACGACATGCGCACTTGACGGCCGCGTACCTGCACGGTGACTCTTCCGGAGGCGCAGGGCCCCTGGAAGCTGACGGGGCCGACGAGGAACGATCTCTGCGCCGGCACGACCATCACCGCGGACGGCCCCTTGGCGCCGCACGCCGCGTTCCACGCCGCCTCGAACGCCTTGATCGAGAGAAACACCACGAAACGTACGTTAGCTTGAGCATGTCCGTCTGCTGCCTGCGCCGCCGGCCATCGGACGATCGGACGGACCAGGAAGATGAATCGCACGCACACGTACCTTGGTGTCGTCCGTCCTGCCGTCGCCTCTCGCGCCGTGGGCCACAACGTCAAACACGAGCTCGCCGGCCGCGCAGCACGCGAGGGCGAGCAGGATGCCCGAGCAGATTATGCCGGCGGCGCACTGCAATAGATTCATCAGCGTCTCCCCCGCATGAGCATATACAATATGGCATCGATCGTGCTATCTAGTTGCTACCTGCATGTATATATTTCTCAAGTTTTGCAGGCCTTACCATCGTATACGTCAGTGTAGACTTGTAGGTCGATCGCGTATAAAACTACTGAACTACTTCAGCTACGTTTAGGGGATTGCATAGAACGTGCCTTCAAGGAAGGATATATAGACTTGTCCTCGTGACCATGTGGGGAGATGAGAGGAGAAATACGTTGACCTAATAGCTAATGTGCATTCATGTGGTAAATGTAGAGAGATCCTTACAATTAGTAGATGCGTTTACTTACAGATAGAATGCTGCTCTTACCGATAGATTTAGGTGGGACTGGAGATTTGAATAAAGCCTGCTGCGTCACTCTTTAATTTCAGTAGCGCATCTCTCCAGCTCGTGCAACCACTCGAGCGGTTACTACTCACTGACAAATACTTCATCCATTCCAAATTATAAGTCACTTTGACTTTTTTGTTCATCCATTTTGCTATGTATCTAGACATATTACTATTTCTAGATGCATATCAAAATAGATGTACCAGAAAAGTCAAAGCAACTTATAATTTGGAACGGATGGAATAGTATATTAATGGGTTGAAATGGGAAAAAAGAAACATTATTTTTTTAAATCCATAATTACATAAATCACTTTAGTTAAAATATAATAATAAATTATCATATTGTTTTTTAATATAAAAAAGGGATATAGTTTCTAATCAAGATTCATCATGTATGACAAAAAGTTTTATAGGCTAGTGTTAATTTAAATTGAAGCATTGTCATTTATCATTATTCAGTTAATGCATTATTTTAGGCAACGGCCACTAAAAGGAATTATGCATAACAAAAAAAAATTAATACTACATTATTAAATTATATAAAGACCCAACAACCTCAGTAGTATTTTATTTGTTTGACTTCATCCAACTGAGCCCCACATCTCAGTTAGGAGCAGACTTCATCTCACGCCATTCCATTCTTGTTCTTATCCATAATATCCTTCTCATGTCCACGTTTGGCTCGATCAAGCTGTCCCCTCCTCTTTGTGCTCTCTCGCCGCCTTCTCTCCCTCTCCTTGAGAGTCTTTGCCTCTCTCTCCCCTGATCTCCTTTTTTCTGATATCGCTCTCTCTCTCTCTCTCTCTCTCTCTCTCCTGCTTCTCCCTCTTGAGTCATCATCGTGACCGTGGGATGCCACAAGCAAATGGACATCGCTAGTATGGGGCACTTGTAGCAAGCGATGTTGCTGGGGCATGCGGTTGCCAGTGTTAGGGCACATGGAGCGAGGCGAGGCTAGGCACGAAGGTGAAGTCGCGGGGGCCAATAACGCACATGGAGGTTAAGGCGCCGGCTAGAGGGAATCCATTATCCATTGAGGTGGCACGGCTGCATCCTCCTCGACGAAGACGTCCATGTTGGCCGCGAATGGGAGCTCCAGCTCCAACACCAGCAATACACAGGAATTGGGATCTAGCACCAGCAGTCCAATTGCTCTTGTTTTCTGGACAAGGTTCGATCTCATCCGATTCAAAATTTAGGGTCATTGGCTTGGGATTCGATTGGATTTCATTTGGTTCATTTGCTATGTTCCTACTCTTGTTTACTGGAGTACAGGCTTCGATCTGATCCAAATCGATCCAGGATCATTGGTTCAGAATTTGATTGAATTTCATTTGATTTAGTTCAAAAGGTTGGATCCCGTATGATAGTACTGTAGGAGGAGGCTCTAGGGTCGACAGTTAGGAGAACTTGGTGACAATTGGATCGGAGATCGGATTTTTACAACCATATGATGGAAATCTAAGATCTTGATCGGGGTTCCTTTGGTGAAGCTTTTTCTTTTTTATAAGCATATGATGCCACATGATTTGGGGAACGGAGGAGAGGGTGCCAATGAAAACACATCACCGTATTTTGAGCAGACTCGGTCGAGACACGTATCTGCAGTGGACTCGGTCATGGTAGGCCATAGAAGCCTTCCCAAGTGATACAGGTGGCAGGACAAAAAATATGGTGGCATAAATTTTGGATCTTTAATATTAGGTATAGATTGCTTTTTGACTCCACAAATCATTTTTCTGTTTGGTTGGATGAATGAGAGTGCATGAGATAAGAGTAGTTGACTAATTTTATCTATTATTTAATATCATGATAATCACTAAGTAAACATAAAATATGTTAATTGGCACTACAACTATCCTAATTGGCAGACAAAACGTACACTAATAACACCTTAGCACTTATCAAAATTAATATTACCTAATGATTCTTAATTTATTTAGTGATAACAAATACTAGAAAACATGGATGAGTTTGCCTGGCAATTTTTAGTGGCGAAGATATCCAACATCTAAGTGAATATTCTCTTATTAGGGATATCATATACTCACCCCGTTCCAAATTATAAGTCACTTTAACTTTTTTGATACATCTATTTTACTATGTATGTAGATATAATAATATATTTAGATACATAGCAAAATAGATGAATTAAAAAAGTCAAGTATCATATATCAAACTCGTCACTAAACGAAACAAAGACATGCCAATAGATGGCTATATCCTAACCAAAGATATCATCAATCCAACAAAAGGCACCCTAAGCTACTTTCTTGTTGGGCAAAAACTTTCTCCACCTGGGCCAAAGTAAAAGGGAAGTCTGATTGGGCTGTATAAATGGACCGGAGGCCATTTCTGAAGCCCGCCAGGGGTGGAGGATGACTAAAGGCAAGATTGCCCGGAGTGGCAACCGGAGTACGGATACGGGTGGCCCAGGAGCGTTGAGCAGAGGTGGACGATGAGGCAGCAGCCTGCAGAGGGTGCGCCGTCAGCCCGTCACGTCCTCGCGGTGTCGGACTTGCCGCGTCCCTCCGCTCCTAGTCGAAGCTTGCCAACTTTCCAAAACTGGTGTCGCAGTGTGCCTAGCAGTTTTGATCAAATCCGCTCAAAAAGGACACTAGTTTCATATCACAAAACAGACGAGGACACGACGGATAGGATTCTATATACATGCTTCGCAGAAAATAGAAAAGAAAACAAATGACCACAGATACGGAGTATGGAGAGTATCAGTCTGAAGGAATATTCAGCGCACTGAAATGTTGACAGATCAAGCAAATGGATCATGTCGATGAAACTAATATGGGGACAGGTGCAGTTTTTATTTTTTATTTTTAAAAAAGGAGAAACTGCAAGACAATTCTATATTTGCGAAAGGGGGAATAAAATGATGTATGCTCGGACAAAATTTCCCTTTACATTCTCATGTTTCAGGTTATATATACAAATTAAAATGGAGGCCAGCAAAATTGGTAACTTACATTTATGAAAAAAACAAAATTAAGAATGATGGTAGACCCATCAAAATCTCATTATAACACTACACAGTAAAACATAAGAGGGAATTCTTTTGTTTCTATCTACGGTACAAGCTATATGAAAGAGAAACCACGACTGTCAAAATGACTTCCATTTCTCCAGTCAGCATTGTTTGAGGACCGATCATACACTGTACAGTTGTTACCTCATACCGAACTATAGGCTTCCTTCTGCATTCACAAGACAGAGAGTGTCAATACTGATGATTTAATGCCAATTGGGTCTAAGGTATGATTAGACTTAAATTATGTGATGATACAAATATATGGAGATTTTGCTGAGGTAAACTTAAAATTTTCAAAGAATCAAGTGCATTGAAACTAGAAATAGCATTGGCTTACTTCAAGAATTTTGTATTTACCTGTCTTTTCTGAAGGAAGCTCTTCCAGGCCTTTCTTCTTTGTCGAGCTGGCAAAAACTTACTTGTTTCTATGTGTCTCCAATCTCCAAGAATAAACAGGAGAAAGATAAATTATGTAGCAGCTTCTGTCCTCAAAATAATTTATCACCAAGCCCTTTGTAAATAAAAACAAGCCTATAATGAACTATCTATCTTTGTTTAGTCTGACATAATATCCTCCAATTCAGGAATGTCTGATCCACCAACACGAATATCATCTGATTCGGTTTCATTAGATGAATCCCTGCCCAAGGGTGTATGCTCTCCGTAGTCCAAATCCTTCCAGTCAAGGTCCCCATCAATAGAATGGTTCTCCACAGCTTCTCCAGCACCTTTAACTAGGTGAGGCCTGCTCTGTCCAGTTTTTCCCTTCGATTTTGCACAAATGCAATCTACAGGATGCTCATGGAATTCGCCTCTTCCTAGTTTAATCTCATTGGGCTCCCCCATGAATCCCTTTTGGAAGGTCTGAACTTTAGATGCAAATGTGTCCCAACTCATGCTGGTTCGATTCAGAAATAATGAGCAAAGTTTCTTAGTGTTGGGCCTTATGGTCTTCCTGTGCCCAAAATATCTCCTGAAAATCCACAATTTATCAGTCAATCACCATTGCCTTAGAGTGTAAGAAAGATAAACAAATCCACTTTGTTCATCAATTGCCACCGAGTCTAGGTTAGCACTAAATGAAAAACAGAAAGAAAGAGTACCTTCGACCAGCCAACATTCTGGCCATGTTGCCATTGTTGTTTGTCACAAAAACATCACTCCTATCGCACACAAGAAAATCAAGAGCAGCCATGCGAGATGAATATGGTAAGAAAGGAGCTAACTCCTTGTTTGCTAGAGTTTCCTTTGAGTGAAAGTTTGGGAAGAGTGCTTTCAGAGGTGCCAGTGTCTCCTCGCCTCCATATACATCTCCTGATGCAACATAAAGGTGCACATCCTTCCCAAATCCCAATGCCCTGAGCATGAGCCCTACTTCCTCTGGTGTTAGAGGGCACTTTCCATGCCGCCGTTCTCTGTCAGGGTTGCTTGCCTGTACAATATTTTCAAATGTGTCACATAAAAAAACTAAAATGATTTTACTTTCAGAAGCATCACTAGTTAAAATGGAATACAATACTCTCTTACATGCAGGGTCTTCCACCTCTTACGGATCTCACCAAGTTCTCTTCTCTCAATGTTTCCACCCCCATAGTAGCAACCAGAGAACGCAAGCATGTCAGGCTCAAATCTGTCAATAGATGGGTCAAAAGAGTTATTGTGTACTATATATGAAACCCGAAGTGTTGGACAAGAAAAAAAAAAGTGATCTAATATCACCTTAGGTGAAGAGCAATGAAGCGCCCACTTTTTTCCCTCATTCTTTGGACAAGCATTTCACCCATTTTGAGGATTGGGTCTGTAAACCTTAGTGCATGATAATTGACTCTACACCTAAGCTTTTGCAGATCAGTCTCTAGCTTATTTGACAATCGGTAGTCAAATTTGGTTAACTGAACAACCTGTGGGTCAACATTCAAGAATTGATGTCAGAATTGAGCACTTTTCACTGAAAAAACTTAAGGAAACATGTCAAATTCAAAAACTTTAATGCTTACATGCTTCTTTAGAAGAGCAGGCAACACTCGGCTCTCATAGCATTTAGGAGTACACTTTCTAGGAATACGCATCTTATATGGCGAAGGTGGTTTCCCATTCCTGTCAGGTACTTGTCGTACGATCTTTACCTCATTAGAGAGCGAGGATATGAATGAATCGACATCAAATATATCTGCAAAGTCACTGCAATGCAGAACTAAAGATTAGGAGAAGGTACTTTGTTGCAACAAACAAGAGGGAGTAATGAATATGAGGTCTGACCTCGCATCTTTCCAGAAGGATTCTTCATCCAGCTTTGGAATGACAAGTGTTGCATTCAGTATGCGGGCTGCAACAACAGCATCTATGATCTGGAAATCAGATAAGTAGCAGAATTTCCCATTATTTATGGGTGAAAGATTCAGTCAAATGATAAAATCGACAAATCATCATTCCAAAACAAATGATGGTGGAAGAGAAGATTTTTTTTTTGGTTATGATTAATTTATTCTCCAATTATTGAGAAACGAAGACATGAGATCTCACACACATTCGCTAGCTTGCAAAATGGCTAACTTTTCAAAAATTGAAGTAAATCAACATAAACATACTATTTAGATTAGTTATCAAAACTACTTCAGTGTAACTATACTTTTGTATAAGTTATGCTACAGAATTGGAAACATGATAAGATTATTGACGACCCGAGTTGGCAAGCATTATTTACACATTTCTGACAGTAGTTGTACGCAAGTGCCAACTGGCAGGAAAATGGAACATATACACAGTAGCCGCTGAGGGCGACAGAAAGTAGTTGGAGCATACCAACAAAAGACAGAAATGCACGGGCGCGGTGACGTACGGGGCCAACAAAACAAGTGGTTGGAGTAGTGACTAGCTGATTGCCGATCGCATCAAATAGTAGTTGGATTAACTCTCATAATTGACGTACGGGGCCATTAAATGTCTAACTTGTACACGCTGGACGAATACAACTGAAGAAAAACTACAATGGTAGCATGTAGATCAGTACATGCTCCTATTAACTCTCATAATTGTCAGACATAGGCACGGACAACTGCAGATAAAAACTCTGTATGTACTGTAACCACAGCATAACTTGCTTAAATTTAACCACAACACAATCAGATAGCTTTTGATTTTTTTTAACTGATGAGATGCTCTGATGGTATACCAGCAAGCACTTCATTTGGCACTTTGTATTGTTCTTACCCCTGTTCGCTGCTGATTCAATCCGCCGCTCGTCGCGATCATCAAGTAACGGTCCGACTTGGTCACAGCCTCGGCATCTATCGAACCATAGATAGAAAGAAAGAAAAAATGTGAGCTTTTATTGACAGATTGGCACCCAACACACGCGCAGCATCAATCAACTCTTCCCCCAGCGTCAATCAACTCTTCCCCCAGCGGAACGTTAACGTAGACAAAAAGAAATCACCATATGTCGCGAGGAACGCGTACCGGCGAATCGCTTGGTGGCGTTGCTGCAGCCGAAGAAGTTGCCCGCCGCCTTCGACTCCCAGAGCTCCTCCCCAAGCTTGCTCCCACCGCTCTGCAAACCATCACGAAATTCGGCGAAATGACCGCTCAATTCCCCCGAGCGAGGAAAGAATGGAACGAACCGAGCACGGAATTCTGCACTCACGGGGACAGTGAAATCCACGGCGCCGATTACATTTCTGCGCACCTCCGCTGGCTTGTTCAACTGCTCGGAGAAACAAAGGGGGGTGGGAGGGAGAGAAGAACAGGAGCCGCGCGTTAAGCAAGGAGGATGACGAAATCGACGACGAGCCGGGTGCCCGGGTTTGACCATTGATGAACCGTGGACCCCCGTGGCCCCAGAATCGTAGGAAGCGTACGTACCAGGAACGGCGGGTTCGGGCGCCGGAAGACACGGGAGCCGCCACCGCCGTCACTTAGCGGCGGCGACAGGAAGCAGTGGAACGCGACGACGAGGAGGAGCAGCCCCGCCGCTGCGAACGCCGCCGCGGCCGGCGCCACGGCGGGCACCACCCACCGGCCGTGGTGGTGGTGGCGCCGCCGCCTCGACCCCATACGCACGTACGCGCACACGTACGCCGCCGCCTCTGGTCTGGTGACTCTGGTCCCCGCGCCGGCCACCTCCGCGCCCCTCTGATGACTCGAACGTGCACCTCGCGCCCGCGGGAGAGACGCTAAGCGCTGGCGGTGGCGGAGGCGGAACCGGGTGGCGGGCGGCACTCGGAATGGGAAGCAAGGCAAGGCAAGGCAAGCGAACGAGAAGAGCACGAGGCGGCGGGCGAGGCGGGGGCTGTAACTGAGAAAACGCCGGGGTTTCAGGGGGTGGAGTGCAACAAGAAATGGAGCAGCAACTAAAACAAAAAATAATGAGAAATATCAGAGGAATCTTCGCATGCTAACAACCGTTTTTTTAATTTTTAAATTTCCTCGCCTACTGGTTTTGGCTTTAAAGCGGGATTAACATGCAATTATTAACACTATTTTATTGTTTTGCTTTGTTTTTTTTCCGTGCTGAGTCGATCGATCTGGCTTGTTGTGTCGATGTCTCTTATGAGAGGCAGAGAGGGTGAGTTGGTGGCTAGTGAGTAGCATGATGGTGTCCAGTATTGTCTGGTTATCAGTCACAGTGTCACACTGGGTAAAGTTTAGGGCGTTGGTGGGGGTAACATAACATACAATTACTCAGGTTTTAACCGTTGCAAAAGGCTCTACTACTAATCATCAGCCATAGATTTGACTACGAGCACATTTAATGTGCAGACCATTTTAGTGCTTAATTGCCTTCGTTGTATCATATATTCAGCCTGTTCGCTTGTTGGTTTCAGTCAAGGCTTATCAGTCAGCCAACAATGTTTTTCTCTCATAATAAACCAGCACTAGTCAGACTTATCGGTCCAGAAACCAACCACCGAACAGGGCGATTGCATGTCATTTTTTTTTTGCTCCTGTGATCTTTTTCAATACTGGAGTATCTTCTGTCACCAAAAACCCGGCATTTTTCTTCCACGCAAATGTCAAGGCGTTTGGGGTTGAAGCTTGTACCATCTACACTAGAAACAGACGTGCTGGATGCCAATCATGTCACGTCTCATAAAAAAGCAGGAGGTAAATGACACGGATTTTGGACATGTCATCGTGTCGGTTCAGGCTTCTCTCACAGGGGAGAAAAATGAACGCAGGGAACAGTCCATGTGGTGTTGGGTGCGTGTGTACTTTGGTTCCGATCCGATCCCAACAGCAAACCGATCGATCGGTGTCGTGCCCGACTCGCTCGCCTTTCCGTGTGCCACACAAAAGGTGTGCTCGAAAGGACTCTGTTCCAGCCTAGTTTCATGTGAATGGATTCGTGGAACATACAAGATGAAATTTTTTACGGATGAATGGACGCCATCGTTGTTTGGGATTCGCATGCAACATCGCACACATGCAATGCATGCTTCACTTCGTGCCAGCTCGCATTAGAGAAACAACCGCGATCTAGAGGGTCAGAAGTGCAGCCATAGCGTTTTACAAGATGGCTAGGTCCAAAGCTCTCTGTCCGATGTACTACCATTTCACTCGAATATGTTCAGGCCAATCATTTCTAGACCCTTTTGATAAAAAAAATCTTAACTAGTACTTACTTGCCACTGTTAATTTCAAATCTAGACACATAAACCTTGCTGATATCCGAAGTTTGTGGTTTCTATAAGAAAAGGAATAAGATCACATATTACCAACAGTAAATTTTGAGTTATGTTCAGTGGCAGAACTCCAAAACATACGACCTAATCGGCACTGGCAGAGGTTGGGCATGAAATAAGGAGAGGACAACGTGATATGAAATGTAATGGGAGGGGGCATATTAGTATTTTATTATGATTTAAAGTGGTGAAATTAAAACTTTCATTACCAATTTCTCTAGCTTAGGGGAGCCATGGCCCACTATGACCCTAACTAAGCACTGTCGGTGCTAATCGGCACAATGAGCTCGCTCGGGCTAGCTACAATAATTAAGCCTGTTCGGGAGGCCGTATCGTATCGTGGATTATTTACTGCTGGCTGGTTTGGTGTGAGAGAAAAACACTGTTCCCGGCTGGAAATTTACGATCGTTTACGAGCAAGCGAACAGGCTGAATCGGCCGAATTATTTATTCATTCAGTTGTTCTCTAAAAAATCATTTTTTTTCAGTCATGTAATTTGTTCAAGTGTACTATATATGCATGCTCCCATCACTGCTGAGAATAATAGCCTGGAGCGAACGTGACCAGTGAACTAGCTTACAAGATGCGCATGTGACGGCCTGCCTGACGGGCATGGATGCATGCTGTGGTGGGTGCCGTACTACACATTTTATTATTTTACAAAGGGGTCTGATGCACAAGTGGAGCTAGAAGGAGCGGGGCGACGGAGACATCTAACAAACTGTGCACGCAAAAGGGCAGCAAATTATGTGCTGATGAGAGGGTGGATTAGAAGGCAAGTCACCATCAATCATCAACCCAATTTCAACCTGGTCCCGGCCCCCGCCCATATGAGCTCAATCGTGAGGGTTTCGTCTTCATAATTGGTTTGCCGAAAAATCTGTTTACTACTATTGTCGTGCCCACATTTTAGGCCCTGTTGTTCCAGGTGACTAAACTGGTTTTGGCCCCTTTGAGTCACTAAATTGCCAACATAGTGACTAAAAATTGACTAAATTGGTTTACTAGTCCCTTGAGGGTGATTAAAGGGGCTAAACTTTAGTCCATGGACTAAATGAAACCAAAAGAGCCCTTAGTTTCATCTAGTTGATATGTGCGATAAAATCTTAATTAACCGTACATAGTGTAAACAAAACTTTAATTTGGCTGTCGAATTTTTCATAACCAGTCTAATTTTCTCTTTGCTTAATACGATGGAGCACGATTCTTCTAGTCCAATCTAAGTATTAAGAAAGGCATGGTTTTTGGGGTGACTCCATGTGCATATGACTTGGAAAATTAAGTTGACATCGACCAAGCATTGAGCTAGTTGGATAAAGCATGCAATCAAACTGCACTATTTTGAGTAGCAATGTGACCCAGTGAATGGTGAACAGGTCTTGTCGATGACTTCAGGCTTTGAAAGATCCTTTTCCGATTTGCCTTTTAATTCTTATAGATTGATGTAACAAGATATAGATACTCTGACTTCTAGTAAAGTGTCAAATCAAATTATCTTAATTTTGAACAAATTTATATAAAATATTAATATTTATCATACTAAATAAGTATCATTATATTTTTCATGGAATATGTTTTCATAATATATTTATTTAGAGTCATAAATATTGACATTGCTTTATTTAAACTTAGTTAAAGAAAAGATAATTTGACTTAGACCAAACTTAGAATTGGATAGAGGTAGTAGAAATTTTGAACAATAATTGTTGGTCACAAACACTGTTTTCTTTTAGCAATGGTGGGCGAATATTCATATCAGGAAAAAAAGGCGATGTTCTATATAATACATAATGCCGTCCCCTCCATGGTTTTCAGTATCTACAACTAAACAACCTAAGAGGATTTTTAGCTTAATTCTACACCACCCAATTAAGCACAACCAAGACGACAAGGTAACAAAGCCAATTCTGCCCAAAAAGATCAATGATGAAATGCCAAGTGGACGACCAAAAGAAATGGAAATATGGGGAAGATATATCGTTTCCTTCTATTTTTTCTTATTCTTTTTCTTGTGAAGAGAAAGCGAGATGCTAACAACTAAGATTGTGTTTGAATCCACTACCCTCCGTTCTCTTTTATAAGGTGCGCACCCATATGAAGATTCAAACTTTAAAATCTTTGATCAATAAGTTGGCTAACAATTTTTAATTATTATAATATAAACTTGATACCGTTAGATTTGCAATTAAATGTATTATTCAATTATCATAAGTTTGTAAGTAAACAATATAATTTAAATTTTAAAGTATATAAATGGTTAAAGTGTAATTTGGAAAACCATGACATATTAAATTGTGTCTTATAAAAGAGAGTGGATGGAGTAGCTTATTAGCTGAAACTTGCTTGGATCCATTAGCTAATACTCCTAAATGGCAAGATTGATTGACTACCTATAATGCCTCTCTCCTCTCTCTATTATTATTCCTCTTTTCTTTGGCACATCTCTGAGCCTCGCCCCTCTCTCTTTTCTTTCTCGCCTAGCCAAATCCACCTCAGCTTCCCCTTCTCCATCTGCACAGGCCATCAACCTCAAGCTCGGTGCAAGCCCGATGAAGATCCAGCATTGCCGTCCTTCCTCCTCAGCTGGCACAGAGCAGCTAGCAAAAGAGATCCACCTTCATGCCCTCAACTACAACCATGCATCTAACCAATGTAATATATTTGTGAGGGTTTGTTCTAGCTAGATGATTTTTAGCTGTTGGATTATGAGATGTGCATAAAAGGTTGTATGCATATGCAATATGTGAGTTTGCATAGTCGGCGACGTGTAGTGCACTGTGCACGACCTGGCGGCCACTGAACCAAGCACCAGAACAATGGGATATTTGGGAAGCGACAGTGATAAAAAAAAACATATCTGTGCACATCCACATCGGCATAAACTCAAAACAGTGTAGGTGTGCCAAGGAGCAAAAACTACTAGTATAGGTTAGTGGCTCTTTCTGAAATGCCACCGGCTCCTCTCTACTACTAGAAAATTAGCAGTGTCTTTTTTTCCTCAAGAAAAAAGAAACAGACCACTTTTTTTTTTGCTTTTGATATAAGTGGAAAACGCATCATTGTTTTGCCACTACTACACCATACCACACCTGGTTCCCCAACAGAAAGAAATGGGCGAAGAACAATCTGCCTCCACCTGCGCACTGCGGGCACCGGACAGAACACGGCAGCACGACCAAGCACAACAGTCAACAGGCACACACGCACACACAACAGCCGAGACTTTATCTTTGCTCAGCAGCCAAATCGGCCGACCACCAGGACCGTGTCACTCAGGCACCCGGCGGTTACGTGCAACTGGGACAAAGCTAGCACGCAGAGGCTGCCAGCCTGCAGGCTGCAGCAGTGCAGCACCGATGCACAACAGCACA